TCATAATGGGAATGTACTGGACTTACCCGCAGTCCTGCATTGACTTTGTAGGACAGTAAAAGTGGGTGTTACCACCTTGTAATCAGTGTTTGGTGAGTGAACTGCATATTCTTTGCTCAATGTTTGAAGGCAAAGAGGTGCATCCTATTGCAGAGCTGTCATTAAGATTGGAATTAAAGCAATTCACAAACATGACTCAATAGGGTAAATGTCAGTATGAGGGATAAAAAATGTGAGTTTTTTTTAAATCTCAAAAGTTGCCATTTTGGCCAAATATTCTGAAGTAAATTGGAAAGACAAAGTGGTTTGGTGTTTTCGTTAAGTGTGCCGTTGACTTTAAATGGCTCCTGAAGGTCATGGAAGCTCCTTTCAACTATTATGGACCTGCTCTTGTGCTAAAAAGGGCCCTGTGTTAGCAGGAAGCATAAAGATAGATATTGAGGAACAGAGGAACCTAAACCTTTAACCCTAAACATTCATACAAATGGACAAAAAAGGTAAACAAAAGTTTCCAAAAAATCTTTAAAACTTTTTTTTTTTACTGTGTGCTGTTTTTCTTTAAGAAAAGTATTTCTTTCTAGGTGCACATTGAGCGCGCCTAGAGATAATATAGCGGCAGCTGATGGTGACATGGTTTTGCTTATCAACTGTCATTGAACCCCATAGTATTCAGGCGGACAAATGTGTGAATCATGGGGAAAGCTGTGTCATTATATCTTGAAAGCCAAAGAATGCGACCCCAAAATCCAGGCCACCCGCTGATATTACATATTTCTCCAAGCCCAGCTTTGTAATGTGCTCCTTTTGTCATAAAGCAGCCCTGTAAAAAACTCTCGTCATTGGAACCTAATCATTTTCCATTATTTTCCGCAAAACAGTGACTCAGTATTTGGTTCTACAGATAAAAAAATCTAATCAAACAAAAATCAATATTCTGATACATGAAAAGTAATGATTTTTTGGAATATGTGTCCAGTGTTCTGTGTAATGGCAGTTAATGGGCAGTGCGCCCTTCTATAGTTGGTATTCATGTGCTGTGTGTTCCGCTGCAGTTATGGTGAAACAGTTGGATGTTGCTATAACCAAACTGTTTCATGATAACAGCAGCAAGGTGCTCCATACATTAATACCAAACACACATTAATACCAACAAAGCACCTTACAGTGTGCTGACATTGACCTTCCTTCTGAAGGGGTGCTTCTTTTGTTCCCCATGGTCCCGGGGTGTGTTGTAAAGTAGTCACCACTCCAAGCTCACTCCAGTGATGGACTTCAATCTCAATACAACCGAGCAGGGGCGTCCCAAGGCTGGGTGACACCCGGAGCGGTAACAGAGTGTCACCCCGCTGAGACGTCACTGTGAATGCACGCGCGGCAGTATTCTGATACCTGCCGGCGGCCATCTTGCTGATGGACGCCGGCAGAGAGAGGAGGGGACAGTCACCCGGCGGGATAAGGTATGCCGCCGGGTCCCCTCCTCTCTCCTGATACTGTTGGGCGTTCGGTCCGTGACTTAGCGCCCGACTTTTCAGAAGGGGGTGACACCAAAATGACTTGAGTCATTTTGGTGTCACCCCCTCCAATGGTGTCACCCGGGTGCGGCCCGCACCCCCCTTGTGACGCCACTGCAAATGAGTAAACTAAACATGAGATTGTAATCCAACACAGCAGTGAGCTTGGAGTACTGGCTACTTTACAACACACACAGGGACCACAGGGAACAAAAGTAGCCACCCTCCAGAAGGAAGGACAGTGTCAGCACCAATTCAGAGATGATTTGAGGATCTACAGCCGAGTGATACACAAATAAGATACATTTTTGTTAATAGTTAAGCTACTTGGATGCATTTTTAGGATTTAACTTCTGAGTTCAGTGTCACTTTTATAAAAAACATGGACCATGGCTGCACAATGTGTGTCAAAACAGTCTTCCTCAGAAACCCCTGTGACGGGGGCAATGGAGAAGCACTGTTGGTAGACAGGGCAGAGTGTTGTCACCCTATTGTGCCTAAACAAGGACTTTCATGCCAAAAGCACAAAGTAAAAGCTGCAAATGTAAAAAGATTGCAAACTACTTTTGAGGTTACATTTAAAGGAGAACTGGGGGGGAGTGAAAATCACTCAGCCTCATAGGTCTAGCTGACCTGTGACAATGAAACTGTCACAGGTCGGCTCAATAGATCGGGAAGTGAGCGAACACATACCGTCGCTCGCTCACTGTAGCTCGCGGTATACTGAGCTTTGGGTGACGGGAGGATGCTAGTACATGTCCTCCCATGACCCTTAGGAAAAGCCCTGACCCCATAGGTCTCCTTTAAGCGAGACAGTCTTCGCCCGATAAAATTCCGCAAAGCAATTCATAATATTGGAAGAGGTTTACCACCTCCCTTTCAGTGGCCAATGTCTGCTATCTTCTGTCTATTGAAGAGCTTGACATTTTAAGTGACAAACATGTTAAAGTTTATATCAGAGTTTAGTGATTGGTTTATGTATACTTTAACTAAACAGAAGTGTGAGAGGTAAGATAACGTACACACCAAGGACTTTTTTTTTTTTAATTACTGGCTAGCCATCGTTATGAGTCATAAATACACTGAGTGGCCAGATTATTATGACCACCTGACGTTTGTAGGCAAATTAGCTATAATTTTGCGCTGAAGTTGCTAGAGGGCCAGACCATTATAAATAGGGAAGCAGGTTGTTTACCACGACAGTAGAAGTGATTTTTTTCTGAAGGTATGGGTAAACAACACGATTTAACAGCCTTTGAACGTGGGATGATTGTTGCCGCTCAGAGCCATGGAGTGAGTATCAGCAAAACAGCAGAATTTGTTAAATGTTCAAGAGCAGCTGTTGTTAAAGTGTTTAAAGACTGGACTGTCAGACGAAAATCTGGGTCTGAACGTGCGAATTGTGGCAGTCAGCAACTAGTCAATGTTGGGGCAGAACGGAGAGTGGCAAGGCTGGTACAAGACAACAGAAGGGCAACAGTGCATCAAATTAGTGGTGCCAGATTCCTTGCATCACCTTCCAACATCTCGTGGAGTCAATGCCAAGAAGAATCGCCGCAGTATTGAAGGCAAAAGGTGGCCCAACGAAGTACTGATGGGGTGGTCATAATTATCTGGCCACTCAGTGTATAGGATGGCATGCATCAAATGCCATTATTTATCCTCCCTTCAGCACTGCCAGCTTGGTGCATGCAGATGACCCCCACTGAGTTCAAATGACGCAGAGTAGAAAACAGTAAGCAAACTAAAGTCTGTCTTCAGTGGATTATCCACAATTCAATTTACCATAAAATACAGAAAGGAAACAGCTACATATTCTAAACAGAAATGATGGCTTCATGCTTCATCTCAATAAGAAGCGTGTTTGGTAATCGCATTATAGAGAATATGACTCAGAATAGCTCGGATATTTTGTGGAGTGTAGTATAAAATGGATTACGGCTGGTGCGGGTTCCTCTGTGGGCCCCGTCTTGCAGGTACATCGCGCCAATCTCTCTACCTATTTCCTTGCCGGGATTTTGTCAAATTTGCTAAATGGAAGAGAAGATAAACGACAATAGGTAAAGCTTATGTTTCGCAGCTGTGACTTTTCCCAAGACAACCGAAGGAGGCTTCACATGCGGCTGGATCTGTACTAGCTTATTTCGTAAGTTTGCGGAGACGAAAACAAAATGTTGTAGCTTTTCCCTGTTTGTTCATTTTGTTTTCTGGTGAGATACAAGGTTCTTAATGGTGCCTGGAAAAAACGGATAGGTCCGCTACATAGAGCTAGACATTTAAAGTGAACCTATACTCAAAAAGTGAATATTAGCTACTTTAGAGAGAATATAATGAAAATATACTTTTGCCTTAGCAGTACCCTGAAAAATCTACCTTTTGCCTTAAATTTCCCCTGAAAATAGCAGTGCACACCATGACCAGTTAGTGTGCCTAGAAGTTGTTGTAGCTGTATATCTGCAGTGTGAGACCATCTAACGCACTGCTTCTTCTGACTGCTAGTGTCACCAGATTTGGAGTGAGATCTGTTGACATCCCTATTGTGATACACACTATTCTCCTTGCTAGAGAGGAAGTTGTACCTGATAACCTGTAGTGCAAGGGTCTGCCTGCTTTGTCTTCATCCATTCTTCTGATCTGTACTTTCTCCAGCACTCCTGCTGCTTCTTTATTACTCTCCCACCAGTCATCAGGGGGCAGCTTTGACATAAGAAAGCAAAGCTGTGCCTCTACCAAGATGGTCATCTCCATACAACGACACAGAAGAGTGGCCAGAGAGAGCAGACAATGCTCAGAACACAACTAGGCGTCTTGTAGCTCCTTTCCCTAAGAGTGACAATGCTTAATGGGAATGCCATTGTTTTCAGTGGCCCCTGTTCACACATGAGCGCTGTGCAGCTTGTTACCAATCACATGAAGCTGGGAGAATTCTGATTTTTGGCCCCTATAGAGTTTAATAGGAGCTCCTGAAAAACGCTGTAAAAATGTGTTAACGTGTGTTTTTCTGGCACTTCCATTTAGAAGTTTATGGAGCGAAACACGTAAGAGTCTGCTCCTGGTCGCTCATAAAACTACACCTGAAAAAAAGCCTCTTAACCACCTTGCTATGCTCACGCTTAGGCATGAATTGAGCTCAAGTGGAAGGAGAAAACAAGGTACTGGTTTTTGGTGGGGACTTCTGTCAATTATACCCATGTTCCCTCAAAGTGATGTTTCCATCTATTTGTTTTTCAAGAGAGCTCACTCTCTGAGCCATAACGTGGATCATAAAAAGTTAAAATGATCTAGTTCATTTTCCAGTGACAGCAAATGGAAAGATGTTCCTATCATACAGATCACATGTAGGTTTTGAACTTTATCATTTGGTTGTTATTTAGAATACATTTTGTACTGTTCCTGCAGTTTGTACATATTTTTGTTTTATTGTATTATTGTTTAGTCAGTTACACCCCTGTTCCCTCAGAATGATGAGTGTCCTCCATTTCATTTCAGCTAACTCTCAATAAAGCACCCACATTTCACCCACCCCTATCACACTGTGGAGTTTATTCCTCATATGTGTAACAAAACAGGAGCATGAACGTGGGACTGGGTGAATATATATCACAAAAGTCACAGACGTGAACCTGCATGGAAAAAACAGCACTAAGTCACAGAAAGCTGGTGCAATTTGTGTCCAGAGAAAAGACAGATGTGTACAAGAGGAAATCAGCTGATCTTTACCTTAGATGACAATCGGTGACCTGATTGAAACATGCAATTTAATAAAGCATCAGAAGAGAGTATAACAAATGCCAAAACACGCCACCATTACATGAGGATTGTTAATGATATGCTTGATGAATTTGTAAAGACTAGGAGTGAAGACTGGTGTGCAATTTCTACAGACAACTAAGCAATCCTGAGTTAAGGAAGAAAAAAGATGCTAAAGCACCTTATGACTGTGAAAAAAATCTCTCTACTGAACAAACACAATCAGAATATTTAAAGAGACAGTACTACATTATGTAGGAAAATCTTCAAGAAACAACCAAGACGATAGAACAACAGATTAAAGAACTCGGCACTAGACATAAAGATAAAGAGATAGTCCTTTAAAGGAAGAACTTGTTTTAGCTGCTAAGACACCTTATTATAGTAACTTGCTAGAAGTTGCAATAAGAAAGGACTTTAAAACTGCTGGTCAGATAGATTATACTAACCTCATGCACCAGATTGACATGAGACTACAAGGAGGATACTGTGGGTTAGGGATTATTGAAGCTGTACTCAAAGCCTTAAGTCCTTGTTTAAGTCTTAAGAGTCATGGTGGAAATGAAGGATGAGCTGACTATAATGCAACTGAAAAGAATCCTAAGAAGTCTCTACAAGGAAGAAAATGCTTCCGATGTATACCAACTGCTGATCATCTCACGAGACACCAAAAAAACACCTCAGAACTCTCTGTTTAGAGCAATTCAGTTGGAAGATCACCTCTTGCTTATTTCAAAAGAAGGATTACATGAACACTTTGAACAGGACTAATACCGTAGAAATTCTTAGTCAGTATATAGTGAACCAAGTGACCATATCAAGGTTCACCTAAACCACTATTGAGATGAACCTTCTGTTTTAGATGAGTTCTTCATAGAAAATTGAATGCAGCTGCTAATATGGGAGATTAAACAAGAACAAAATAAATCTCAAACCTATGAAACTAAATGAGTGCCAGTCCAATACACTACATTGCCCTCAGGAACCAGCTGCTATTACTAGCACAGCCTTAACAGTAACAAAGATCCAGCCACAAGTGAGTAAACTACCCAGAAACCCCCAAACATGATCTTGAAAAGGTAATACTGCAGAGGCAAAGAGAGATGCCAAACCGCTGTAGTAAACATTGGAAATAATTCAAAGAGGACATGTCTCCAAACTGACAATTCCAGTTTGGAATATAACACAGTAAGCTACATAGTCAGGTTGAAAAAAGACACATGTCCATCGAGTTCATAAAGACACAATTTTACCAGGCTGAACTAAGCTTGGAAGCATTGAGACTATAAAGCCAGCATATTCTGAACATTGAAGCAAAAACAATTAGTGGACATATCTTTCCACTCTACAAGGAGTTCCATGCATCTCCAAAAGGACCAAGATACCTAGCAGACAACCTAAACAAGGTCCATTCTCTGAAAAGACGAATTGAGAATTTAACTTGATGGTCATGTGTCTTTATTCAACCTCAAATACTATGAGAGTTATGGGATCCATCCAAATGTCTTTAGAGCACCTCATTAAGGGAAGAATGCAATGGTTTTGCAAAATATGGCTCGGTGGTGGCTATGTCTCTCCCTTACAGTTACAGATCCAGCTCAAGGACACCACAGGTGTCAAGAGCAAATATAAGTCTGTACCAAAAACACAATAAATCAAGAAGTAGAAAATCCATGCAGAACCTGCTTAATTATGGCTAGATTACAAAATCTTCTTATTCCTTACCCATTGTGTGTGTGGAAAAGAAAGGCTGCATATTAAGACTGTGCTGCGAGTACAGAGAGTTAAACTAGAAGTCCGTTCCTGACCGCTATCCATTTCTAAGAATGAAATGGGCAATCTGTGACAGATATCGAGACTACCTATAATATTGTCCATCATTTGTGGTATACATTGACAACAACCCACTTAGTTATGTCTTTACATCACCAAAGTTGAATGTAACAAGCCACAGCTGGGTTGCAGAATTGGCAGACTTTTAGCTTCACTGTTAAGTACTTGAAAAAAGAAATATTAATGCCGATGTACAAAAAGAAATGTGAAGACAGCCTAGTGTATTGTAAAGCAAGAACATGGAAAAGACAGAACAAGAATTCTACATTGCAATTTGTTATTGTCCTGTGGTTATTACCTATAGCTACAGCTCGCGGTATACTGAGACGCCGCACCTGGAGCGGATCCCGACTTAGATGACGGGATCCGCCCAGCTGTGTGAGTGACAGCTGGCTCTGCCTATCTAGAGGCAGAGCCAGCTGTACCCGCCCCCTCCCCGTCCGTTCCGCCAGTCAGCGCTGGCAGATCGGAGCGGGGAGAGGGGAATCCAGCCCCTCCCCCTTTCACGGCAGAGAGCCGTGGCAGGATCGAGAGGTGAGGGAATCCCGGTATGTTTTCCCTCACCTCCCGATCAAATGAGCCGACCTGTGACAGTCTCATTGTCACAGGTCGGCTTAGAACTATGAGGTGAGTGGAAATCACTCATGTCATAGTTCTCCTTTAAGATAAGTTTTTGTTTTCCTTTCAACTGACTCAAATGAATTTCGACAAACATTTTTTTTTTGTGCAAACAAACACTTAGCAATTTACATCTTCACAGGAAGAGTAAATTATTGACTAGGTGTGTTACAAGCTATCTCTGCAGCATTTTGCAGACTTTTGTTCTTCAAATCTCTGCTGATCTTTCCAACAGTAAAACTTCAATAAATTGAGACATTGCTCGTAATAATTTCTAGTTCTGCGAGTGTGTGGCTGCCAGAAGGACACATTTAATATGTATCTGTCTGCAGCTGATTTTAAAAAAAGTGCAACGTTTTGTAGAATGGAGCTTACCTTGTTGTGGGTTCATTATAACATTATCACTTCCAATGTTTGATTCCTTCCTACAAGTGAATGGCAGGTCACAGAGGTGCCCCCACACTTTTCACCGTCTGAGGTGGGGTGCTGGTGGTAAAAGCTCCAAGGGGGGTGGGGTGTGG